GTGAATGCTGTGATGGGGCTTGATGTGGATATTCGACTGTTGGAATCATTTGCTGAGAATCAAGCTCCTCTTTTAACTGAGGCAGATGCAAATCAGCTGAAATCAGCACTTGTTGAGTCGAGGCAAATGATTAATTTGCTTTTGAGCAATCATCCTGAGAATTTCTTAAATCCAGTAATTAGAGAGAGAAGCTATAATGCCCTGGACTACCGGAAAGTGGTGACCATTTCTGAAAAGTTAAGGGACCAGTCCGATCGGCTGTTTGGTTCCTTTGGGACCAGAGCAGTTAAGCAAAATCCTAAGAAGAAGTCTCTGGATACATTGATTAAAAGACTCAAGGACGTGAACTGAAATCACTAAAAATCTGTATGTTCCATGTACTATGTTCTTGCTCTAGTTGTTGATTACTTAATAGGCTTTTATTACAAATATTATGTGCCAATTTTCGTTTGCATTATTCTCATATTTTTTGCACATGTTTTCTGTAGCAATTCTTTAAAGACATGTCGATGCATATTCTGTAATTTTTACATTATTTTGAAGCTTCAATATGGTAATTGACCAACCTCTATCTCGTCGAATGCAGTTTGGCCAAGTGGCTTAGATATTGACTTGATTCATGATTGACTTAGCTTTAAGCACTGGTTTCTAGATATCATTGGCTGCTTGTGTTTTCCAGTACTCATCCGTTATGATATTATTTTGGTGCCTAGTTTTTCCATTATTAATTTCTATATGATTCTCTTGATGTGCACTTTATGATCTAAATTTTCTCTACTTATTTATCCTGTGTATAGAGCTACGAAATGCATTGTGAAAATGAAGATCCCAGAACTATTACTGGGCAAGGTTATTACTTAATGGCAAGATACAAAATTTTAATGTGTAGTAATGAAAGCAGTAGCTCCAATCATGGAGGAAGAAATGCGAAATCAGGAAACTAATTTAATAAAAGGATGCTAAGTGCTACAACCAAATGGAAGCAACCAATTATTATTACCAGATTAACTATTACATTTGTGGAAATAATTTAGGACTACTTATTGAAGAGTATTCTGTAGCGTTATTGTTAATGAAATATATAGCACCTTATTGTTTAGAAATATATCCTCACCATGGCTAAGTGGCCCATCATATATTCGCCATGAGAAGCACGAGGGAGTTGCGAAGTTCTCTGTGTGCTATGTTAAGTTGTTAACTAGTTAGTAGTCCCCTTCTGCTTAAATTGTCATCAGTTGGTTCCCTTGACAAATGGTATTCGTTTTAAGATTTTCGGTTGGTAGCTTGAGTTAGCTTGATTGAAATTTATTGCTTCACCTAAAATTCTCACTTATGTAGACCTTGTTTTTCCTACTTCTTTTTTGCCACATTGGAATGAAAAAATCGAGGAAGTTTGCTAGTCTTTGGCAAATAAAATATATAGGAAAGAAATATTACCTAGACTGGCAAGATCGATGACTTTGATAGAGGTAACCTGAGAAAACTATTGGAATTTTCGTTCTTATTTTAGTTGTTTGCACGAGGAATCACTTTCTATTCTATTGGAAATGGGATTTCGAATTCATTGATGTTTTAACATTAACAAATTGTTCTATAGATGCCTGTAGTTTTTTGGCATACTAGCGTCCCTGAACTACAAGTTCCCGGATTTTATAGAAAAGGAAGATGTACAACTACAAAGTAGTGGAAAACTCCATTTATTGAATGTTAAATGACTACGACTGACTGATCTAGGCCTTGGTTTTAAGGATATGAATAGTTGGAATTCAGCATTACTTGCAAAATCAACATTCACCAAAAGGACACCATTTGGATACATTGGGTAAATCAGATTTATCTGAAAGGGGCTAGCATTTGGGAAGTCTCGCCAAAGAAAGATGACTAGCAGCTCCTTAAAAAATTGCTGGAAATCAGGAACGCACTGGGACAGCCTGCTATGACCGTTTAGGCAGACGAACTGGGACAGACTGATGCTGTCATTTAGGCAACTGTGGCCAGACTTATGGTCTGGATTGCGGGGTATAATTTTTGCACATCTAAGGCATATGATTACTTTCGGCCAAGAGGAAGTACGAAGATCTGGGCAGCTGATGTTCGGAAACCTTGCATTGCACCGGAACACTCATTTTTGCTTTCGTTAAGTGCTCAATCCAAACTTCTCACCAAAGATAAATTGCAACACTTGGATATTGACCGGAATTGTGTTCTTTGTTAACAAATAGCGGAAATAGGCCAGCACTTGTTCTTTGAATGTTCGTTCACTTTGACCTTGTGGAGGCTGATTCAACAGTGGCTTGGTATTAGAAGATCTATGTTTGAGTTATCTAGTGCGTTGAAATGGATTAAAAAGGAGACCCGTGTGACATTTTGGCATAGCAAAGCAAAGAGGATGGCACTTGCTAGCGTCATTTACCACATTTGAACGACAAAGAATAAAAAGATTTTTGAAGATCAATTTGGAAGAGATGATAGAGACAGGAGTTCATTTTGGCCATGGTACTAGGAAATAGAATCCATAAAGCCCGAGGATTGGCATTCCATTGCCGTTACTTATCAAAAAAGGGTAAAATAAAGACCTAGTAAAAATAGAAGAAAAGATGCGTGTCCATCTTAGACCTTTCTTGGATAGTGTTGTAAGACGGGTCAAAACACACGTATACAAAACTATATTTTCTTTGTATCCGCATGTTTTGATTCACTTGAGTCTTGAGCATTGGGTCCTTAGATTTTATCGTTTTTATGCCTTTTCATTTTGTTAGCTCAGGTATGCCGGTGTACTTGTATATTAGTTTTGGTCTATATATTTCATAATTACCGATTAAAAAGAAAAAAAGAAAAACCTGTACTTTTAAGTCATCACTGTCTTTTTATATTGAATCCTTTCGATCTGATTTTTTTTTTAAAGAAGAGCTATAATTTTGTTAAAACTCATAAAGAGGCTCCTTTTTTATTTCTTAATTTTCTCACCCCAGAACCATGGATTGGCTAACTATTAGTTATTTGCCTCTACTGCTCTATGTGCTTGAGCTGTATGTTTCTGGCAGGGACAAACCTTCAGCATTATGACTTCCAAGTGGGTCTTCTTTCCCAAGGGGCAACAAGCCCACCACGGCGAGCTGAGTGGTGCAAGTCAATGTCAAAGTGGGTTGAACTGCCCGTGCTTCAATTAGGCATAAGAAATTGTGCTATGAAGTAGACTTTAAAAGGAACATGTATGATGTACCTCATATTTTATATCATTTTTTTTTTTAACAGTGTGTCACTTGATACCACACTATTGGACAATTTTGAAAAATAAACCAATCAAATCTTGCCAACTCAAGTAATGTCAAAGATGATGGACGCTTTTAGTGCACACGTGACTTTTCCCTAAAGTTATAATTTCAAAATTTGTTTTAAAATTTCAAAAATCAGGTCATAATTAAATATTATTAAGTAAATATATAATTAAAAATATTTTATTAATTAAATTCTTTAAGATTACAATATTATACAGTTTATGGTCACAGTCACGTACTTATCATATTTACCAGACGCCACAATAGCAAATTACAAATTTTATAGGTAACAACTTATTTATCGATCACATTCAAATTAATTGGTTGAATATTATTTTTTAATCACAAATCATATGTTTTATAGGTCGATTTATGTCAAAATCATAAATTATCGAATTAATTGATTCAACAAATTATGAGTCACAATTACAAATTTAACCACCCTAAAAATCACCTCAAAAACCATCCCCGCTATGCAACGGAGTTCACACTGTTGTGAGCATCGTTACGATGGTCTTCCGTGTCCGTGTGTGTGTGTGAGAGAGAGAGAGAGAGAGATTTAGTGAGTTAGGAGCGAATTGAGGGTATGACGGTATGTACGTTGATTAATTTAATTTTGTAATATTATAATTATTATCACTATTAAATAGTTGAATTATCACTTAATTTTTGGAATTAAAAATTTTTTAATCTGATTTTTGAATTAAAAAATTGAAAATTATGTGCAAGTGTAATTTCCACTTGTAAATGTGTCACCGCTCAGCTCTAGGCACGG